CCGCCACCACGCCCGGCTAGTTTTCTGTATTTTTTAGTAGAGACGGGGTTTCACCGTGTTAGCCAGGATGGTCTCGATCTCCTGACCTAGTGATCCGCCCGTCTCAGCCTCCCAAAGTGCTGGAATTACAGGCTTGAGCCACCTTGCCTGGCAGGTTCGGACTCTTAATACTCAGTTTCCATTTGGCAATACTCAGTTTTCACTTGACTGGCCACAACTGAACTCTTTAGGCCTCCCCCAAAACCTGCTCCTCCCACAGTCTTGCGCATTTCAGTGGCTGACACCTGCCTTCTACCAGTTGCTCAGGCCAAAAGCCTTGAGTTATCCTTGACTGCTATCTTTCTTCACACCCCATACCCAATTCAAAGTCAAGTCCTGTTAGCACTGTCTTTGGAATGGATTTAGAATCAGACAGTATCTCATCTCACTGCTCCCACCCTGGTCTGGGCTGCACTGTCTCATATTTGTACTTTGCAGTAGCCTGCTGGCTGGTCTTCCTATTTCGGCCCTTACACCCATGCAATCTGCTCCTTTTAAAACCTAAGTCATTCAGCTGCTCAGAGCCCTCCAGCAGCTTCCCTTCACGCCTAGTATACCTCACAGCCCTCAGAGGGGTCCGCAAGGCTCTGCATCATCTCCCCACCTCCTCCTTGGCCGCACCTCCTCTGTCCCCCTGTGCTGGGGCTTCAGTCGCCCTTCCTGCAAATACACCACCTGCTGTATGCCTCTCCAGGCCCTGCTGCTGCTACTCCCTCTGTCCAGAGGGCCCTTCCCCCAGGGGTCCACATGGCTTGTTCCTCACTTCCTTACAGTCTCTAGTCATGTGTCACATTGGAGAAACCCTCCTCAATTACATTAAAATAGCCCCCCCGCCCCCGCCCCCGCCCCGTTCCCTTTCTTCTTCCCCTGGAGTTTTTGGCAACTACATGTGACTCCTGACCTCACACATGCTCTCAGTTGACTGTCAGCTGTGTGAAAGCAGAGGCCTGCACTCACTGCTGCATCATCGGCACTCAGGTCCTTGCTGAGCCAGTGGTCCTCGTTGGTGTGCCTGTTACTGGGACTTCATTCAGGAACTTTCCACCCTTTATTCCTGACATGCCTGGTGGTCACGGTTGCTTTGCTTTTTTTCCACGTGTTTCACATCTCCTCCTTTCCACTCATAGTGCCTGTAACCACAGCTGCTGGAGACACCCAAATGGTTTATTGGCTTTGTGAACATGTTTCTGGAGTTGTTGTTTTACTGCCTAATTGGAAAGATTTGGAGTCTCATTTTTCTCCTCCTTTTTTTGCACATTCTCTTCATCTGCCTGGTTTGCCAATTTAGTCCCGGACATGACGGCACATGGAATGACAGTCAGCTACAAGAAATGGCCCAGCTGAGGATCAAGCACCAAGAAGAACTGACTGAATTACACAAGAAACGTGGGGAGGTAAAGCTAGCCCTTTTTCTCATCTGTCTTCTGCCCTCTATGAGAGTCCTGTGGGGAGTGGGGGAGCTCAGTCACTTCTCACCAGAATTGGCAGCGGCCTTAGCCATATGTGGCATCAAAAGCCCCCTCTATAGGAATAAAAGGGCAAGGAAAACAGAATGAAAAGACCAGGCAGATTGAGGCCCATCGCCAGAAGGGCCATCCTGTGAGAGCGCTGCCAGTTACCATGCTCCAAAATCAGCATGAGGGGCAAGAGTGGAGAGGCTTTAAAGAACAAAAAAGCCTGCTCCCTGGCCTGCTGAAGGCCTCACTCACTGATGGTTTCATAAAGCTTTTCAGTACGAACCCTGAAATTTCAGAGACGTTCATGAGAAAGAATCAAGTCCAGGGATGTGTTCACCTGGATGATGGTCTTACAGCAAAGCTCCATTTGGGAAAATACAGTTCACCATCAATACAGCTGAATTGATTGTCTTTTCAGCAGAAATGAGTCTCCAAAAAGGTAGCTGAGGTTGAGGAGTAGACAGTTGTCCTCAGCAAGCCCCTGGCAGTCACCTGGAACACTTCTCATTCCAGCCAAGCTGTCCTTCAACAGGGAGCGGCAGGGACAGTTCCCCTTTGTGTCCCCATAGGTGCCTCGGCTCCTTGCTGTCACCCAGCTCATTTATTGTTTCTTAAATATAAATCGCCACCCACTGTGTAGTTTCCAAGTGAGGTCCTAAAATTTTATTTATAAAAGTATTCTTCTTTATCTCCCAGTTAGCTCAATTGGTGATTGACCTGAATAACCAAATGCAGCAGAAGGACAGGGAGATGCAGATGAATGAAGCAAAGTGAGTAGAGACCGTGCCTCCTTGGAGCCTGGTCATTGGGTCCCATGTCCTTGTTCTGCTGACCTCTTGTGAGCAAGGCCAGTGGCAGTGAGTGGCCACAGTGCACTTAGCGAGAGTTTGATTTTCAGTGCATGCACGCTCTGGGATCCTTTCCTACCAGCTCTGAGAAGGAAAAGCAAAGATAGTCCCGCAAGCTTCTAGCGTCCTCCTAGGGAAGTCGCCTTGGCTCTTGCAAGTTTCCCAGAGACACTCAGCAGCTTTCCTGTGGCCGCTGTGTGTGGGAGCTGGTATGTTCCTGTGGTGGAGGTGGTAGGGCCAGGATAGCTGAGCGCATGGCCCTTGGGAAAAGGGGAATGAGTTTGTGAGCAAAACTGTTGCTGATCAGAGAGAAGCCTGACAGACAAGATAAATCGGGACTCTGAATCCTGAGACCTTGGAGCTGGGGTGGGGGGTGCTTGGGTTTCCTTAATATGTGAAAAGGGGTCTAGAGGCTTGGAAAGGCAGGGCACTTGCTCAGGCATTCTTGCTTGGGAAATGTCAGAGCTGGTGAAATATATAGGGTTTCCAGCCTCCTTTTAACTCCCCTTTACCAATCTAAGCATCGAACGTTTCTCTTCCTTCACGTCGTGTTTTTCCTAGTCGTTAATTGGATTAATTTCACCTTAAGTGTTTCCTCTCCTCATGGATTATCCTGTACCTCATGGGGATGGGCCTGGCTAAAAGATGTAACAGACACAAAGTGTTAAGCACGCAGCCAGGTCCATCTGGCTCTGGCACAGGGCTCTGGCGAGGTACTATTCCTCCTCTGATGTCATGCTTCCAGAATCGCAGAATGTTTGCAGACTATCTCTGACCTGGAGACGGAGTGCCTAGAACTGCGCACTAAGCTTTGTGACCTTGAAAGAGCCAACCAGACCCTGAAGGATGAATATGATGCCCTGCAGATCACTTTTACTGCCTTGGAGGAAAAACTGAGGAAAACTACGGAAGAGAACCAGGAGCTGGTCACCAGGTGGATGGCTGAGAAAGCCCAGGAGGCCAATCGGCTCAATGCAGAGAATGAAAAAGACTCCAGGTGGGCTATCAATCCACAGTTAGTGGTTTCCATCCTTAGTAGAGTAGAACCTAGGTCTTTGCAAAGAAAGACATAAACCTGGCAGTTACTGCAGGAGGTTTGCCAGGGAATTCTTTCAGTGTTTCGAGGAGAAAGGCTAATTCTGAACAATATAAATTAAACTAGAGTTAGAAAAAGGAAAGAAACCACAATTAGAATTCTTCCCTATAATTTTGTGAAGCTTTTTGTGTCCATATAAAAATTCTGATCTTGCTAATGCACAAGGAGGCTATAATACAACCTCATATGAATATAGATGTGAAATTCCTAAATCAGACTCATTGATAGATTTTTATTTATTTATTTTTTGAGACAGAGTTTTGCTCTGTTGCCCAGGCTGGAGTGCAGTGGCGTGATCTCAGCTCACTGCAACCTCCAGCTCCCGGGTTCAAGTGATTCTCCTGCCTCAGCCTCCTGAGTAGCTGGGATTAAGGCATACGCCACCACGCCTGGCTGATTGTTGTATTTTTAGTAGAGGTGGGGTTTCACCACATTGGCCAGGCTGGTCTCAAACTCCTGACCTCAGGTGATCCACCTGCCTCGGCCTCCCAAAGTGCTGGAATTACAGGTATGAGCCCCCGTGCCTGGCCATTGATAGATTTTTAAAGAATTCACTGCAATCCTTCTAAGTCTGTTTAAGATAAATCTGAAACGTACTGAGACGTGGGAATTAAAAAGTGGATTATCAAGAAATCAGTTATATTAGGAATTCGAATCTCTGTTGTGGGAAATGTGTGTGTTTAAAAGCTGCCCCAGAGAGTCCAGTCATCCCCTGGTCAAGGCCCACTGATCAACCATCTATGTACACTCTTACTAAAACCTACAAGAGAACAAGGAGAGGTTCACTCTCACAACTCATAGAGAACACCGATCTGGATGGTCTGGCCAACCAACGATTGAAAAGAAGGGGTGATCATCCACCTAGAAACCTAAGAAAATGAGCTGAAAAGCTATTAAAACAAGTTCAGCAGATGCCAGGTGCAGTACATAGCTCATGCCTGTAATCCCAGCCCTTTGGGAGGCGGTGGCAGGAGGATAGCTTGAAACCAGGAGTTTCAAGAGCAGCCTGAGCAACATAGTGAGACTCCATCTGTACAAAAAAAAAAAACAAAAAACTAAAACAAAAGCTGAGCATGGTGGCATGTGCTTGTGGTCTCAGCTACTGAGGAGGCTGATGGGGGAGAGTTGCTTGAGCCCAGTAGGTTAAAGCTACACTGAGCCAAAGTTGTGCCACTGCATTCCAGCCTCAGTGACAGAGTGAGACCCCATCCAGAAACAAACAAAAAACTCTACAGATTAGAACATACATATTTTTAAATCCCCATATCAGTAGTTTTGAGTTTGAAGAGATTATTCCAGTTAATTTAAAAGTGAATAAATGACAATAGGAAAGAGTCTTTTGAAGGGAATAAATTACGATAGGAAAGAGTCTTTTAAAGGGTGATGATGGAAAAACAAGTTAGTATATCAAAGAGATGATCTGCGCTACCGTCGTTTGTGGCAGCACCATTCACAATAGCCAAGATATGGATTAATCTACATATTCATCATTGGCTTAATGGATAAAGAAAATGTGCTGTACATATACACAATGGAATATTATTCGCTATAAAAATGAATTAAATCATGTCATTTGCAACCACTTGGATGGACAGTCTATTAAGTGAAATAAGCCAGACACAGGAAGGCAGATATTGGCTTCTACATGTGGGGCTAAAAGAAAAATGTTCTAGAGATACAGAGTATAACTGTGGTTACCAGAGCATGAGAAAAGTAGTGGGGAGGGAGGTTAAAGAGAGATTACTTAATGGATACAAAAATGCTGCAAATGGATACAGAAATACTGTTAGAAGGTGTAAGATTGGCCCGGTGTGGTGGCTCACTGTAATCCCAGCACTTTGGGAGGCCAAGGAAGGTGAATCACTTGAGGTTAGGAATTCGAGACCAGCCTGGCCAACATGGTGAAATCCCGTCTCTACTAAAAATAAAAAAATTAGCCGGGCTTGGTGGCGCATGCCTGTAATTCCAGCTACTCAGAAGGCCGAGGCAGGAGAATCGCTTGAGCCTGGGAGGTGGAAGTTACAGTGAGCCAAATATCATGCCACTAGGCTCTAGCAAAAGCAAAACAAAAAGAATATTTAGTGCTGTGGAAAATGCCTAAAATTAATATAACCAAAAATAGGACACAAAATGTTTTCATACAAATGATTCCAATTTTGTATACTTTTAAAAAAAATGACTGGAAGGAATTATATGTACTGTTACTGGTGTTGATGTTTGGGGGTGGTAAGATTATGGTTTTTGATTTCTCATTTTATACTTATCTGTATTTTCTAATTTTCTGGTTTCTATTAAGAGAAAGTAAGCTGTCCTTTTTGTATTGTTCTGTCTCACATTTACTTGAAGCAGACTTGTTTGGCTTATGCCATGGAACCTGTCAGAAGTGTGAGGGTGTTAGGGGCCTCAGGTGAGCTAGATGCTGCTAGGTTGCACGTTCACGAGGCTGCTAGAGGGAGAAGGTGGGGAGATGTGTGGCGATGTCAAGGAAGAGCCCCTGAGCAGTGCAGTGGACGGGGTCCTCATTCCCTAGCCCACCCTTTGAAGCATCTTCCTAGGGATGTGCACTTGGAGGTATCATGTGATTGCAGATGTGGGGCCTGAGGAGTCTTCATTTGCTTAGGTAGATTCTCCTCCTAGAAACCTTCCCGCGTCATTACCCACTTCCTGCCTCCCCAGCTTAGATGTCCCTCATCTTCCTGCTTCGGGCAGCTGTGGTTTACCTGGGCCATATGTAGCACACTGTTTTGAAATAGCTCTTCACACACTGCCTCCTTCCCTATGCTGCCACGTGTCAGGCACAGTGACTGCTTCATAAGATGCACTCGGGGCTGGGTGCGGTGATTCCCGCCTGTAATCCCAGCACTTTGGGAAGCCGAGGCAGGTGGATCACCTGAGGTCAGGAGTTCAAGACCAGCCTGGCTAACATGGAAAAACTCCGTCTCTACTAAAAACACAGAAATTAGCTGGATGTAGTGGCGGGTGCCTGTAATCCCAGCTACTCAGGAGGCTGAGACAGGAGAATCGCTTGAACACAGGAAGGGGAGATTGCAGTGAGCTGAGCTGAGATGATGCCACTGCCTTCCAGCCGGGGTGACAGAGACAGACTCTGAACTATTAAAGACCTTTCCTTTCAGCTATAGTGATGAAACCCTGATGACAGGTGGTGGTTTCCTCTCCCTGTGACCCTAGGTCAAGTTTTTATCCCCGCCTTGCATATATTTCTATAACCTAAAGTTATAGAAAGTAGATATCAGACAATCAACAGGTGCTTTAATCATAGAGTAGTGGTACTCACACACCTCATACTGAGACTCTTGTTTTTCCTCGAAGAGAGTTCACAGGTTGTCTCTTCCAGGTAAGAAAATTTGGATAAATTGTATTTTTGGTAATTTGCCCTGTAAAAGTTATTTTTCGTCTTCAAGGTATAAAATCAAAAGCGTATTGTACTTTTAAAGCTATGCCCACACCCCTTCCCAAGATTCTGCTATACTGCCTAGAGGACTTACCTTCATTTTGAGAATTATCACTATGGTAGAAGTTAAGAGAAAGTTCAGCAGAATTCTTGATTGCAGCTCAGTAGCATTGCTGGAGTTCTAAATTAGGAGTCCTCCACCTAACAGGTATAGCCATAGTTAGAAGTGAAATTTGTCAAAGAAGAGAGTATGAGGTCAGGGTTAGAAGTTAGGGAGTTTCTGAATTTAGGACTTGAATGAGAGACAAAAATGATTCTGAGAAGGGGAGTTAGTGGATGAAACTTTGACCATGGTAAAATTTGTCACAGCCAAGACATTAAGTTTCTAATGTTACGTAAATTTTTTTTTTTTTTTTTGAGACGGAGTCTTGCTCTGTCACCCAGGCTGGAGTGCAGTGGCCGGATCTCAGCTCACTGCAAGCTCCTCCTCTCGGGTTCACGCCATTCTCCTGCCTCAGCCTCCCGAGTAGCTGGGACTACAGGCATCCACCACTTTGCCCGGCTAGTTTTTTATATTTTTTAGTAGAGACGGGGTTTCACCGTGTTAGCCAGGATGGTCTCGATCTCCTGACCTCATGATCCGCCCGTCTCGGCCTCCCAAAGTGCTGGGATTACAGGCTTGAGCCACCGTGCCCGGCCTGTTACGTAAATTTTGACAGTTGAAGAATCTCACTATACCTCAGTTTCCTCATTTATAGGTGGCAATAATGGTATTTACCTCAAAAGGTTGTTATAAGGCTTAAATGAGTTAAAATCTGTAAAGTAATTAACAATGTCAGGTACGGGGAAGTCCTAGGTAAATCGTCACTGTTAGTAATCATGCTGTGGGTGTGTAAATGCAGGTTGAGCATCCCATATCCCAGACTCCACAATGCTCCAGAATCTGAAACTTCTTGAGTACCAGCATGACACTGGAAGTACTCATTGGAGCATTTCAGATTTCCGATTTACCGTCAATTCAACTGAATTTCACGTTTAGACCTGGATCCCGTCCTCAAGATTCATATCATGTTTATGCAAAACTTCGAAATCTGAGAAAATGAAAAATCTGAAACACTTGTAGTCCCAAACATTTCAAGTAATGGATGCTCAACCCGTATAAGACTATTTGCTTCAGAAAACTTAAGCCACAACCATGACTAACCCTCAGTGAGCCTGAGGCACGTGTCTATCCTAAGAGACCCTGGGTCCCAGAAGGCAGGCCTCCTCCTTTACCAGTTCACTGCTTTCTCTAATAATGTGACCTATCTCTCTTCTAGGCTTTACTCTGAAACCATTTAAAAAGGGAGCCTCACTGATGTTATGAGTTTGGGCTTGTGACTTTGAGTATTTTGCTCAGGGTAGTTGTTATTTCACATGCACTGAATGTGTTATTAGAACTGGTAGCTTCTGGAGAGCCCAAACCCCATGCTTTCTTAAGCAGACATAAATGGTGGGCTTTTTTTTTTTTCTCTCAAAACAGGAGGCGGCAAGCCCGGCTACAGAAAGAGCTTGCAGAAGCAGCAAAGGAACCTCTACCAGTCGAACAGTAAGTAAAGATAAATGAATCGAAACTGTGCTCCTGAGAGTTTGGCTCTCTTAAAAGTTTTGTTTCGTTTTGTTTTTGTTTTTTTTGAGACAGGGTCTTGTTCTGTTGCCCAGGCTGGAGTGCAGTGGTGTGATCATAGCTTCTAATGTTTTTATTTCTGTAAAATCATCTTACAGATTTTAGAAAGAATACTTAAAGGAAGAAAATGAAACCATACAATTCTTCCACCACTCAGAACTAACATTCATATATCATTTTAATTGTATTTTGGTGGCTTCTGATTTCTCACTTACAAATAATGTACTAATATGGCCTTTGACCCTATTTCTGATTACTTACTTGAGATAGATTATTGAAAATAAAATTTGGTGGGTCAAAACTTTTGGAACATACCACCAAACAACCTTCTGAAAAGTTTCTGTTCATCAGCTGTGAATGTGAATTCTAACTTCCTGCACTCGGTACACATCACTGCCTTGCAGTTTCCTGTTGGCACTTTGAACGATCAGTTTTCTGCCTCTCCACTGTGCCTGCCATGTGATGCTGCGGTGGGGTTGTTCCTGTTGTTTTGCTTGTTTTTTCCCTCCTTGCTCCCTTTGGTTTGTAACTTAAAGTGGAAACATAAGTGAAAACTAAGAGCTCTTGGAACAGAAGGAATTGAACTAGCTCTGGAGCTTTTCCTAGTCTGCCTACAAGTTAAGGTGGGGTATCTTCTCTGAGATTTGAAGCTTTGATAGTGGCAGAAAAGAGTTTCCTTTGCTCTAGGATGTTTCTTTCCTATTGAAATGTGTTTTGGAATATAGTTTTAGAGTTACGATCCACTATTTTTTTAAAATGTTGGTTGATTCCTTATAAGAGGAGGGGTTTAAATTCAACTAGGAGTCATTCATCAACTAACGTTTTAATTTATAAAGAAACAAAGGTTCCCATATCATGCCTTTGCTTTAGATGTGTAGGATACGTGAGTGTCTACACACTCAGATGTGGAAGATTAATCTCAGTTGTATTTTCCCGTCACAAAGTAAATAAATAGTTGACCTGGAAATATTTGGTTTCTTCAAAATAACAGTTTATAAAAGTGTCATGTGCATAACCAGGTTGACTGTGACAGTTTAGACAGGTTGAGCATCCTGCCCAAGATCATACAGGAAGGGGCCGAGGTAGGATGCAAACACAGGGCTGTAAAGGTCTGTTATTTTATTTTATTTTGAGACAGAGTTTCACTCTTGTTGCCCAGGCTGAAGTGCAATAGTGCAATCTCTGCTCACCACAACCTCCACCTCCTGGGTGTAAGTGATTCTCCTGCCTCAGCCTTCCAAGTAGCTGGCATTACAGGCATGCGCCACCATGCTCAGCTAATTTTGTATTTTTAGTAGAGACGGGGTTTCTCCGTGTTGGTCAGGCTGGTCTTGAACCCCTGACTTCAGGTGATCCACCCGCCTTGGCCTCCCTAAGTGCTGAAATTACAGGCATGAGCCACTGCACCTGGCCTAAGGCCTGTTCTTAATCTCTATGCTTCCCTAAGGAGTTTCTGGGTCAGAGGACATACATCTTTGAAAGGTTTTGATAACTTAGCAAATGCTAATGTTTCCTTATGGTCCCGCTCCTAAGCACAGTTCCAAGTACTTACAACCATAAAATTCTATTTTCAACAGGACATTGTCAAAGGCTCAGCTCATATTTGCAGTTCCTGTCTTTGCAGTTCTCTCGTCCTTGTGTGGGCACAGGTGACTCTCACAAACCTAGCTCTCTGGGAAAGCCAATCAAAAAAATAAAGCACAGCCTTGTCCTCTTTCTTTAGACCTGGCTTTATTCCCTTCTACATCCTGGCCAAAATGTGGTGCAATAATTACACATAGTCCTGGAATAAATAGCTAAGGAAAATAAATTTACTTTGACTTGGTTTAACTTGCTTAGTAACAGGTTCTTAAGTATATATTTACCTAATCCAGATAATTACTCATTGAAAAGGAAAAATCTTTCTGTCAAGTTCTTGTGAATCCAAACAGTAGGTGGTGAAATCTTGGGTTATTACATTTAATTATCTTACTTCTCCATGAAGGTTGCATGTCAGTAGGAGGTCATTAAGACCAAAATAATTACTTGCGCTCCTCCAACTAGGAAAGACGTGGTCCATATGAGGAAGGGGGATTCCAGAGGTGCTTTGCATCCGCTGGGACAAACAGCAACAAAGGGAACATGTCCTATGACTTGATTATGTCATTTGAAGTGTGATGGGCTCTCCTAATGTCAGAGACACTATGTATTTAAACATAAAATATGCAGAGTCAAAAATGCATAGTGCTTACATTTTGTTTTTCTATTTTTTAATTAAAGTAATATTTGAAACTGGGTTAAGTCAGCTGTTGATTTCATGGCCCATTTAGCCATCCCTTCTTTCCCTGAATTCTTCTCCCTACACTGTTGTTATTATATTCTATAGCTGCTGCCCCAAACTATCCTAGGTACCCCTCAGCCCTTGTATCATGAGAACTGTGCTTGGTGAGTACTGCAGCCCTTCAACTGTGATGCTGACTGCTGATGGAATGCCCTGCTTTGGCACTGGTTATGTGATTATAGACTCAACAGATCATATTTCATTGCTTTCCAAGTAGGAACTGTGTTTATACCTAAAAGGATCAAAAGCTCACTTTTAAATTTATTCTCAGTTGAAATTCTGGATTTGATTTGAACAGGTTAAATGTTTATTTTAGTGTTGTTCAGAACATGGCAGCTCTTCCTTTTTTTCCAAAGAACCTTTAAAACATTGCTGTCATAGACAAGTGATTTAAGATCTAACTAGAAAATGATATTAGCATTTGCAGAACAGATTAATCACAGAGCTCCTGTTCAAGAGAATCAAAGAATCTCTTGCCTTTCTTTCAGGGATGATGACATTGAGGTCATTGTGGATGAAACCTCTGATCACACAGAAGAGACCTCTCCTGTGCGAGCCATCAGCAGAGCAGCCACGTAAGTAGGCGGGTTTGAGCCAGGGGAAAAGGCAGCTTGAGGAGCAGTATGAAGGCACATCTGTGGACCTGACAAAGAATGCAGTCAGATGCACCCAACTCCCTACCGCTTTGCTGGGACACCCAGCGTTGTACACACCACAGAGGTGTCTAGTCTTTCTCACTGCACCTCTGCTTAATGGGAGGGAAGCAGAACATGGGTGGCTTCAAATGCTTCTAAATACAAAAAAATGTAGTGGCTTACTAAAATATGGACAGTTAAACCTTATTAAGCAGAATGATTGTTTAGGTTTAGATCATCCTGTTTCATTCTTCCTAGGGCTTCCCCTCCCCACCGCCCTTAAAAGAGTGGGGATTGGTTAGGTAGCCAGGAGTTGTGAGGTGTTAGTTGTCTAATGCTTTATTTGCAGGGAAATTAATTTAATACTAGGGAACCTTGTTTCTTTTGAAACTTCTAGGCTAGGTTTTCCCTTTTCCCTTCCCACTATTTTCTGGCAGTTTGGTACTATGTTGGGTTTCTCTCGGCTGGGGTTTGGGAACTAAACGGGAAACATACTCCCAGGTACCTGTTTTTGTGGGCTGTTTTTATTGATTGATTATTTGGGCAAAATGTTTCTAAGGTTTAAACCTATCCTCCCCTCCTCTTTAGTAAGCGACTCTCGCAGCCTGCTGGAGGCCTTCTGGATTCTATCACTAATATCTTTGGGTAGGTTAGAAGACCTTTCCTTTTTAAAATGTGTATAAGTATACCTAAGTATATGTACATGACTTATTTTTATTTTTTAAATGTACACCAGGTTTCAGTGGTGCAGAGTATACATGTGCCTTAATATCAGCTTTTCATTTAGCTTCTTCCTTTTTCCCTCAACTTCCTTTCCTCTTAATCTCGCTGCGTGCTGATCTCTGGCCTTTCCCTTTAGTCTGTCCGAGTCTCCCCTTTTGGGACATCATTCTTCTTCTGATGCTGCCAGGTGAAACTATTATCCTCTCTTAGTCCAGCATGTGAGTGTGGGTCCTTAACAATTATGCCGATCACCGCTTCACTGCCCTCAGTCATCAGATGTTCACGTGCTAACCCGGATGCTTTGCATGTTCCTAGGAATGCCGGGAGCCCTCAGAGCAGGGCTGCCACATTGAACACTTTGTACAGTACTCATGCTCTTGTTGCTTTCTTTTGGCATGCGTTAGACTCCACATTGATCACAAGTGATGAGGGTGATTCTAATTAGGCATAGAAATAAAATAGGTTTGCGAAAAATAGCAAAGAGCTACCTCCGAGCTAGCTGTTACGTTGAGAAAGTTTCCCAGCAGCTTATTGACTGGGAAAGCAATTGTTCAGGATTGCTTTTCGTTGTTGGGTTTTGGAGTCCACTGGTTAGTGTGCAGGAGAGTAAGGCATGTGCTGGCTCTCGTTCTCATTTGAGTGAGGGTGCTTTTGATTTTTTTGTGTATTGTTCTATAGTTTGAAGAATCTAGAAGGGACAGGCTATCAACAGGCAGTCTGCTCAAGCAAGGTCACCTTGGAGTCCTTTCTAACAATTTGATGAGCAGTAAACCTTTGCAATCCTGTCTGACATTTGTCTTTATGTTATTTCTTAGGAGACGCTCTGTCTCTTCCTTCCCAGTCCCCCAGGACAATGTGGATACTCATCCTGGTTCTGGTAAAGAAGTGAGGGTACCAACTACGGCCTTGTGTGTCTTCGTAAGTATGCTTCAGCCCCAAGTCCCACGTGCTTGATATAGTGACAGAGCCTGGCAATTAAAGGGTCCTTTCTATGCCTGCAGCTAAGCGTTCCATTGTTTTACTTATATCAAGCTTTTACACCTGTTGGCTCTGTCAGCTGTGAGAAATCGATCTATTTTGCTTAGTTTCAGAGGAAAAAATTTGTTACAACCATCCTCTGTAATGGCAGAGCTGACAGAAAGGATTGCTAGCATGAAGGATAGGGCAAAGGAAAAGTAATTAGGAATGGTGAGAAATGGGAGAGTGATTTATATAATTATTGTCACCAATTGGCTCCAGTTTAGAGTGAGTTGCCAGTCAGTGATCTATTTTGGAAGTAGGACAGCTGTTGGTTTCATGAATTATACCCCTATCTGTATGACTCCCAACCATTAGGGGTCTATGATTGGAAGCAGTCCTGGGCAGAAGCCACTGTGATGGATACCAGGGCTGTCACCTGGAGTTCAGAGCTGGGTCCTAGTGCTAGCAGATAGTTTGCATCCCAGCAGGGGTAATTGAGCAGAAATGGAGCCAGCCTGGGGAAACATTCAGTACCTGGCTCAGAACTGTCAAAGTACGAGGAGGGTAGGAAACAGAGCGCAAAGAACAGAACCTGGAGAGCTGGACTGACTCCCGTACTGGCCTAATAGCTGGCAGCGGGTAAGTGAAAGGAGCCAGCTTTCAAAGCAGGGAAGATTTTGCCGTAAAAATGGGATGGAATTTATATGGTGGGAGCTTTGAGTTCTGGGTGTAAGGAGGGACTTTGCTAGTTACACAGTGGACTGGCTGAGTGATGAACGGCCTTGACTGTTGTAAAGAGAGTTCCGCTTTGGAGGAGGAGTCGGGGTGGGACATATCAAGGCCCCTTCCCAGTCCCAGTCCACTCCTGTGATTCCGTGATGAACCGGGCGCCTTGCAGAGGTCGATGATGATTGGTAAAAGGTCTGATTGCACTGAATGTCACAGTCCCTTTGTTGCCCTCAACTCCCAGCCGCCCATTTTTTTCCTCCTGTCACATTTAAGTCATGTGTATGGGATCATGGAGCAGCTGATAATTTGGGATTCTGTCAGTGTGTGTTTCTGAGAGTGATCGGTTCACAGCTGACAAGTATCCAACAAAACCAGTTACACAGGAGACTGACGAGTGGCAGTCATGGGTGTGATGGTGCATGATCTCAAGTTTTCAATCTGAGACCTCGTAAGGAGAAAGAAAGCATGAAAAAGAAAAGGAAGTTTCATGGGGGTAAAAGGTTTGGTCACCGGTCATACTTTTCAGCAGTGGGTCACAAGAGGGAGGGAAAATAGAAAATGAAATTACCAAAGTGGCGCCTGCTGCCCAGCCTGTATTGCTCTCTCTCTGATTCTTCAAGCATCTTACTTTTTTTAGTCACAAGCGAATGTGAATATCACCTATTCTCTTCCCCAAGTGACCTTTTAGACAAGTGATTATCTGCTTAACAATCTCATATTGGTAGTCTATGTTTTCTAGTCTTTCTATTCCTTCTCTATTATAGAAATTTTCAAACACTTTTGCTGGAGCAATTTGAAGCCAATCCTAGGCATTATATTTCATCTAAAAATATTTCACTACCCATAATCTTCTTAAGAGAGTATAGTGAATTTTTTGATTATTCCCTTTTCCCATTCTAGAATGGGATGCTGGCTGGGTCTCTGTTATCCAGGCTGGAGTACAGTAGCACAATCTCAGCTTGCTGCAGCCTCAACCTTGTGCTGAAGCAGTCCTCCCACCTCAGCCTCCCGAGTAGCTGGAACAACAGGTGTGTGCTACCATACCTGGCTAATTTTTGGTTTTTTGTTTTTAAGAGATGGGGTTTCGCCATGTTGCCCAGGCTGGTCTTGAACTCCTGAGCTCATGCTATCCACCCACATCAGTCTCCCCGAAGTGCTGGGATCACAGATGTGTGCCACCGCACCCAGCCAGGATGCTTTTTTACTTGGTTTTCTTTCTCATCCTGAACATAAGTACCATCTTTTGCCAGTGTTTATGCCAGTATCAGAAATTTCCCTATTAAAAATATAAATTCTCCTAAAATAACGACTGTCATTTTTATCCACGGCTTACTCTAACAGGCACCATTCTGGGTTGCAAAAACCTTTCTGGAGCTGAGCAAACTGAGACTTCAGAAACTTGGCAGAGGTCACACTGCCAGTACACACTAGTCCCATAATGTTTCCACAAAGAACTACATAGAATTCCATTGTAACACAGATTGATGTTTTTGCCATCTGCTTATATTAGGTCTCATTGTGAAAGCTGTATTATGAGAGGCCATGTACTATACATTATTTAAATAGGTAATATTTAATACTAGTAAATTAGTAATTACTAGTAGATCAATAAGTAGTATTCAACTCAGTCTAGATCAAAATTAACTAATTCTAGGTTTACTTTTAAACTATTAAGGTAAATATAGGCCATTATTGTTAGAACAAATGATATTAATGCAAGGACCAACTTTTTGAGCAATCTACACAGATTTTGAGTACTTTTTGAGAAAGTTGCGCTGTACTCTGATGCAACTGTAACTAGAAGAATAAAATGATAATAGAATCTTAGGAGACCTGAGCTAGGAGTCCAGTTTAGTTTGTGATTGGCTCCACCTGTCTTTAAGGATGAGCGTTTCCCCATGAATTAGGCATTTGGAGTGTTCGCGCATCTTGAGCTCTTGGAATGAGAATGACTGGGTTTGACGCAGGGTACTTGTCTTGCAGGATGCACATGATGGGGAAGTCAACGCTGTACAGTTCAGTCCAGGTTCCCGGTTACTGGCCACCGGAGGCATGGACCGCAGGGTTAAGCTTTGGGAAGTATTTGGAGGTGAGAGCCTGCTGCATGATCTCAGACTGAAAATTTGAGATGATGCACCCTTGCACCACAGAAAGAAGCTGTGTTGCTGGCATCTGGTTGACCTTGCTTTCAGGCACTGTGAATTGTTCATCTTCTCAAAACATACATTTTATGTAAGGGATCATTTGAGCAAAGCATTGTACATCTCAGTTATTCTTTACATCCGAGTGGATGTTTGTAGTGACCAGAAAATACTGTTAAGTTATGGATATGTTTATGTTAGTAAGGTTTCTGTAATTTTTCTCAAGTGTATACCAATCAGAACGTCTTGCAAAATAGTACCATTTTTATGAGGAAAATAAGTCTTATGATCATGGATTCTACAGTTAAACTATACATTAAGCTGTAGTTGATGCATTTAATGACGATGGCAATAGCCTAGGGGAAAAAATGACTGGAGTCATGTCTAAGCTTCAGAAAAGAGACGTGTATTACCTGGAAAAGATGTCTTTAACAGTGTATCAGACAAGGGCCCTTAGATCAAGACTCAGTCTCTTTGGACTTTTAGGATGCTCAGAGATGGATGGCATTAAAACAGAAAATGGAAATTAATGAAACCATCTCTTAGAAATCTGAAGCTGGGCATTTCCCAGTTTTGACATTTTCAAGATTCAGTTAAATATGCATGTATTTTTACTAAAGTAAGGCCAAAGAATAAGGCTTAAGGTTTTTAATAGGAACCACTTTGTCGGGTGTCCATAGTCCATACATTATCCCTGTCCAGCCATAAGTATCTCCAAAGTGATTTTGTCTGTTAATTCCCCTGATCTTCACAACAACCCTGTGTGGTTAGAAAGGTAGAGATTGAGCCATTTCACAGATAAAGGGAATAAAACTCAGACACTACGTGATTTACATGGCTGGTGAATGATTTCCATGGTGAGGAAGTGGTGGAACTAGGACTAATGCAGGTCAGAAGACTTGAAATTCCATGCTCTTCTTACTGTAGCCTTCTCCAGCGTTCTCTAGCAACTGAAAAATCATAGGAGTACTGCTTTTAAAGTTTATGATTAGAGCAGGAGCAACCTATTAGAATAGATTATTAGTAAAGCACTCCTCCTGTCTGCCCCGCCCTTTGATTTTCAGGAAGGGGCTCAGCAGTTACAGCCCATCGAAGCGTGCTAAAATTTGCTGTTTTGCCCGGAAACATTTTAGCTTATGAATGATAATGGCTGAAGCTATTAGAAAACAATAATAAAAACAAATCATAAGAAATTTTCACTTTGTGAGGCTGAGGCGAGAGGATTGCTTAGGCCAGGAGTTCAAGACCAGCCTGGGCAACAAAGTGAGACCCTGTCTCTACAAAAAAAGTATTAAAAAGTACCTGGGTGCAGTGGGCATGCACTTGCAGTCCTAGCTTCCTGGGAAGCTGAAGTGGGAAGATCAGTTGAGCCCTGGAGTGCGAGGCTGCTGTGAGCTATGATCACATTACTGCACTCCAGCCTGGGCAGCAGAGCAAGACCCTGTGTCTTTAAAAAAAAAAAAGGAAATTTTAGGGAATTTGATTTGTAAAATCGAAGTAAACAGTCTGTTTTGATTATACCATTGAGATTTAAATAAATATAACACTAGAGATATTTTTGTTTTACTCCTTGGTCAGTAAAAACACCTATAAGAAAATTAGAGGTACCAACCTTTAATTCTGGTAACCTTGTTGCTGCTGAAAAGGAAATGAACATCAATTGAAGTTAATACTGACATAATTTGTGCCAGCGCATAATTTGTGTTAGTCAAATTAAGTTTCTACCTAATCTACAGAAGTAGAAGAACGTATGGCAGCATTTCTTACAGTTTTGTGTAGGGCCTTTCTTCTACAAACAGCTTTTTCAGTCGACTTGGTTTTTCCTCTTGGCTAATATTTATTTACTGAATCTTGGAAGAGGCCAAGTTCAAGAGACCTTTTCTGAAATAGTTTGGGGGTCCTGTTTTTTCATCCTTTTAGAATATCAGAAGAATGGCACTTTCTTCCCACTGGGAACATCTGGTTGTGCTCATTCTCTCTAAAGCAGAAGTTCCACTGGGAATTATACAAATGCTGTTGACATAGCACCCCCCACCCCCACCCCATACCTTGTAGATAATTAGTTTTAATACAGTCTTTGTTCTTTTTGAGATCAGTCTCTCATATTGAATAGCATTAATTTTTTGGTCACTTCTTACATTTCAGCACTGTATTACGTGCCAAGCAAATAGACCAGTATTTTAAGCATAAGCCAAAGAGATATTTCTTAGAATTTGCAGTAATATTTTTATCTGTGAGGACTTCATCTAAAGGAAGATCTTAGCGAATATTAGCCTTTTTCAACTGTTTTGAAAATCTTAAGAAAGCTAGGATCCAGAAAAAGCCATTAAATATGCTGTATTTTGCAAGTGGATTTAGAGGAGAAGTTCATCAACCAGGTTAACAGTCTGTGGCCTGAACGTACATGACAGCTTCAAATCAGTATTCGTGTCACTTTGATGTCTGGCTCCAATCATTATTTTTACTACTTAGAAGTGCTGAATAAGATACAAATGTGGTGAAATGGTTTCTGTTCTGTGTTCCCCTTTACAAATAAGATTACATCGCTTCCTTAATTCCTAGCTTATCTGTGTGGATCATCCTGAAGTTACCCTTTTAAAAAGAACTTAATCAAATCATTGCGATTTTTGCTCTTCTCAGTTTGGGATTGCCGGTTCCTGAAATTTCCGTGTGGGTGGCCAGGCTGTCTGGAAGCAGAGTAGATAAAGTGTACACTGCAGAGTAGATAAAGTGGACACTGCAGAGTAGATAAAGTGGACACTGCAGAGTAGATAAAGTGGACACTGCAGAGTAGATAAAGTGGACACTGCAGAGTAGATAAAGTGGACACTGCAGAGTAGATAAGGTGGACACTGCAGAGTAGATAAGGTGGACAGTGCAGAGTAGATAAAGTGGACAGTGGCTCTGTTGGTGAGGGAGAGCTGTGTAGAGGGATGGGAGGTGCTGGCACTTAGTTCGCTTGCCAGAATCTTAGGTTCATGAAGATAAAGTATGAGTGCAAATTCCAGAAACTCCAAACTAGCTTGACTGGTATTCTAATGACTAGTCATTTAAATGTAACTAACCCAATTTCTTTTCACACCTTAATGAAAATTACCACACCATGGATCTGGAAATTGACTGCCAGTTTATACAAAAGTGATAGTTAAGTTAGCACAAATACTGATCAAGTCAAAGATTTATGTAAGTTTTTAAAATTTACTGAGAAATAATGGAACTGAATAAACCCAGTCTCTAGTTTGATTGACATGGTTTATGCATTCCTACACTTTATTTTTCTAAAGAGAATGAATAACTACATTTCTTAAAGAATAGAACACACATGCAAGATACTGGGGTCAGTGTCCACTTAGACATGCATTCCTCTTAGAAACTAGCAGTATCTTTTATCTCTCATATTCTGTTTGTCCTGCTATTTTGTTTGATTCTGTAAAGGTACAGGATAGCTGTTGTTTCAGCAGTATAATTGGCTTCCATTGTATTTCAGTGCCCAGTTTTAATGTATTTATTGACTTTATTTAACTTCCCATCATCCTAATTTTTTCTTTTTATACAGAAAAATGTGAGTTCAAGGGTTCCCTATCTGGCAGTAATGCAGGAATTACAAGCATTGAATTTGATAGTGCTGTAAGTATCAAATAGCTATGATTTTAGGTTTTTAGAAATAATTTAAGACATTCGGTTTTTGAAATTATAAAATAACTTACCCGATTTCTCTGCCATTCTCTGTATCTTAAGTCAAATCCATGTTAAAGAAAGATGGAAGTAGATTATAGGGTTAATTGCTGTATCAACTCTGATAAACCCTTGGGTTCTGCTTCATGCATTAGGCTTGTGATGTTACTCGGTACTCTGTATAATTTCACTTAATAGTTGTATTTTGAGTTTATAGATGCTGTACTCCAGGGGCCAGTGTGGTCTCTACCCTCAGAGATTCACCATCTAAATGAGAGTGATGGGAAAGCATTAAACTGCAAAGCGTTGTGTTGAGGTTATGGTTGAGATGTGTGTGGAGTAGAAAGGAAATACTGATGAGAGAGTAGCTCATTCTGGGGCAAGGGTTAGGGGCCACAGTAAGGCATTTAAAGCGGGTCTAAAGATAATCAAAGGTCGGAGGCAAAAAGCCAGGAACGGACACCACAGGCACAGGGAGCAGAGGAGGTTGGGCTGGGCAGGTGCAGGAGCTTGGGTGGAGGTGATGACTGGGTGAGGCCAAGGCAGCGTCCTCATCTACCAAGAGTCCTTATCTTGGTTGTCATCTCTGGGGAGCCTTTTTCACATTCCTGGGTGGGTTGAGTGTCTTTCTGTATTCCCAGCATCTTGTGCAAACCTATTCTATGGCACAGTGGTTGTGTATATCTGCTTCTTTTACTAAGCTGAGAGCTGACTACCTGAGGACAGGTGTCTGGGTGTTAATCATCTTTGTACCCCCAGCACCTGGCACAGTGCCTATTAGGTTCTAAATAACTGCTCCTTGAATTTAATTGGGGAATGGTAAGGGAATAAGGTTGGAAAATGAGGGTATGTTGTATTGAAAGGTTTAGACTTCTGTAAAGCCATGTGGAGACTTGAGAGATTTTTAGAAATGGGTGTGGTGTTAAATTGTGGTATAACTGTGACAGTGTTGAAGACTGCATTGGAGGAAGCAGGTCTGCAGCAGCCTGTGCGTTCAGTGCTTCTGCAGAGATGCAGAAGGCCCAGGTGGGGCTGAGGCAATAGGGGAGAGAGGAGAGGACCAGGCTTGACACATTGAAGATGAACAGTTCTCAGAGTGAGTGGGAGATTAGGCCAGGAGAGAGTCAAGGGTGCCTCTGAGGTTTCTGACTTGTTGATAATTGCTGCTAGTGAAGGTTGCCAAGGGAAAAGTGAGCAGGGAAGGCTGAGTTCCATTTTGAGCTTGAGGTGTCTGCAATATTCAGGTGAAATTGAGCAGGCTCAAAATAAAGGTCTGAGCTCGAAGGAGATTGGTGAGTGGAAGCACACTCATGACAGTAGCTGGTATTCAGGCTGGGTGTATAGTTTGAGGCATCTAAACCTTCTTGGACTTGATTATTGGGGAATTTATATCATGTGAACTTAACTCCTCTGATTTGGCTAAAAATTGGTTTTCTTCTTCTTTATTCCCATAGGGTTCTTACCTCTTAGCAGCTTCAAATGATTTTGCAAGCCGAATCTGGACTGTGGATGATTATCGGTTACGGGTAAGACCCAGTTAAGAAAGTTAGTGCAATCTCCAGACTTCATGTGGCGTTATCAAGGCACAAACTGGCAGGTGCTTAATCAGGGGACTTTGTTTTCCCGAAAATCATGCTTGATTCACCCTGCCCTTCCTTTCCTCCTTGGGGAAATCTGTGTTTCCACTTTATACTCTTTGTCCAAGACTCAGTTTCAAAATATTTGCAATAGGACCCTCACATTTGCATGAAAACCTTGGAATTCTCTTCATAAGGACTAGATACTTTTGGTAGGTAGCAATTTTAGCTTAATGGCACAGAATTTAGCAACAGCATAGGAATTGTGATTCCTGTGGGCTCTAAAACCTAATTATCTCACAGAGTAAAGTGGGATATAGAAGTACAAATGAATGTATCATAGGGATAAGACAATTCTGAAACAAAAACTCCCAGCTGAGAAAGAGGGGACAGGTGTCAGAACGGGAAGAACTGATTGGATGTTGAGGAAAGCTGCATTTGAACCGCAACTTGCCGAGAATTCTCTTGGCACCCAAGATAGAGACCAAAACTTGATTGTATCATTTTTGTTCTAGGGGGAGCAGGGGGCGTAGGGGGAAGCATGTAACTTAATTTGTAGACTTTTTTTCCCCATAAGCCTGAAGGAATCATCACATAAGCTTATTAAACACAAGCTATTGAAAGATATAATGGAGGATGAATTTGGCATTAGTAGGCATTTTACTTAAAAAAAAAAAAAAAGTTCAACACAAGCCATTTGTGTGTGTCAACCCACACCAAAAACAGGAAGTAATGTTAAGATGAATTTTTTTTTCTTTTCTTTTTCTTTTTTTTCTTTCTTTTTTTTTTTTGAGATGGAGTTTTACTCTTATGTAGAGTACAGTGGTATGATCTCGGCTCACTTCAGCCTCCGCCTCCTGGGTTCAAGCAATTCTGCCTCAGCCTCTTGAGTAGCTAGGATTACAGACGTGGCTAATTTTTATATTTTTAGTAGAGATGGGGTTTCACCATGTTGGCCAGGCTGGTCTCGAACTTCTGACCTCAAGGGATCTGCCCACCTCAGCCTCCCAAAGTGCTGGGATTACAGGCGTGAGCCACTGCCCAGCCAGATAAATTTCTTTTTTTTTTTTAGTTTGAGGCAGAGTCTTGCTCTGTCACCCAGGCTAGAGTGCAGTGGCGCCATCTCAGCTCAGTGCAAACTCCGCCTCCTGGGTTCAAGCAATTCGCCTGCCTCAGCCTCCCGAGTAGCTGGGATTACAGGCGTCCTCCACTACATCCAGCTAATTTTTGTATTTTTTAGTAGAGACAGGGTTTCACCATCTTGGCCAGGCTGGTCTTGAACTCCTGATCTTATGATCCACCCGCCTCGGCCTCCCAAAGTGCTGGGATTACAGGTGTGAGCTGCCGTGCCTGTCCTAAATTTCTTTTTTCTTTTTTTTTCTGAGATGGAACCTGTCGCCCAAGCTGGAATGCAATGACATGATCTTGGCTCACTGCAACCTCTGCCTCCCAAGTTCAAGTGATTCTCCTTCCTCAGCCTCCCAAGTAGCTGGGATTACATGCATCTGCCACCATGCATCTGCCACCATGCCCGACTAATTTTTTTTTTTTTTTTAAATTTTTTTTTTTGAGCTGGAGTCTCGCTGTGTTGCCCAGGCTGGAGTGCAGTGGCACGATCTCGGTTCACTGCAAGCTCCACCTCTCACACCATTCTCCTGCCTCAGCCTCCGGAATAGCTGGGACTGCAGGCACCCACCACCATGCCCAGCTAATTTTTTGTATTTTTAGTGGAGACGGGGTTTCACCGTCTTAGCTAGGATGGTCTTGATCTCCTGACCTCGTGATCCACCCACCTCGGCCTCCCAAATTGCAGGGATTACAGGCGTGAGCCACTGCACCTGGCCTAATTTTTGTATTTTTTTTAGTAGAGACAGGGTTTCCCATGTTGGCCAGGCTGGTCTCGAACTCCTGACCTCAAGTAATCCGCCTGCCTCGGCCTCCCAAAGTGCTGGGATTACAGGCGTGCGCCACGACACATGGCCCAGATGAATTTCTTAAATCTACAAGGGAGGTGGAGGAGCTGTAGTAGAATGGTAAATTAGGTGGGTTTCTGGTGATTTTCTTGAGAGGGTTGTATAGAAGGTTATTAGTATTAGATGCTAGCCAATACTTCAGGGGTAGTCATTCTTAATTCGCAATTGAAAGACGATCCAGGTCCGAACGTGCAAAATAACGAGCCCTGACGCTGACAAGGACGTGCTGTGAGAGCTGAGGAGCCTATGTTCTCGTCTTAATGATGGACTCAGAAAGTGCGCTGCTTAGAGAGCCTGCCACGGGGCGCATCGATTCAGATGCTTGAACAGGTTCAGTTGAAGCCCTGTCGTTCTATACTGTACACATGGAAAAGATGGCCTAGCCAGTACTCATGGCTGTGTTCTAATCTATCCTGTGGAATATTGTGATTTATCTAATCATTGATCTTTTATTCTAGACTGAGATACAGTAAAACTGACCAATTATTGGAGAGGGGCCTATGGCCTTTTTTATGATAGTCCCCTAGAGGAGAAGAGGAAGAAGTTGAGTCAACCAGTAGTGCAGGATGATATTTTTTAATTGGTAAAAGAGGAGTCCTATACAGGTGGGCATCAGCCTTTGGGTTAGAAATAACAAGAAGGAGACCTAGAGCAGGGAGCTAAACTAAGAGACAAAGGTCATAACATTGAGCTGGCACACAGAGGTCTCACTGGGGAAATGTTCTCAGTATGCGGGAGCGCGGCGCAGGCGGCTGGGCTGCTGCTTCTGATGATGCCATGCTGGGGCAGGAGCCTCCTGTGCTGGACTAGTTGGCTTTTGAGTTTCTGGCCTGCTCATAACCTTGTCCTGTTCCTTGGTAAATGTGTGAAGATGGGAGGCCTTTTTCAGCAGGTTCCCTGTACCCAGAGAACTCTCCTGAAAACTTTACCAGGTTGCAGAAAGTAAAATAGGCTCCTTATTCTAGGGAGTGCTGGCTTTTTTTTAGACCCCAGTTAACAGATGGTATTGGAGAATAGGAATCCATTCATCTATGTTGTGAAACTCACAGACATCCATGCCCTGTTGGTATCTCCTTTGCTCTTATGACAAGGGAATTGTGTTGGGAGAGACTGGCAATCAAGAAGCAGCCGGTTGAGTGCTTGCTTTAACATCCTTTTTGTAAATGCACCCTAGAAACAGCCTGGCATTGAAAGGAGTCCTCTGTGATGCCTCCGTTAAAAATCTAAAGTCAGTACAAAACTGCCCGGCTGCTTGGTAAGATTTGACTTGAGGAACTTGCTTGGAGAACCCCCCTGCCCACTTCTGTCGTGGTGTGGTAAAGCGGCCACAGTGAGGATCGGCTATGGCTGCTAGGTGATGGTTTCTGTTTGGAATGTTCCTCTCTGAGTTCTGCATTCTTCTGGAATCAGTTGTCTTTGGTTGGTGTTATGTTAGCTGCATGATTAAGTTGTTACCTGAATGGGCAATTTTGTGTTTAGAAATAGGGGTCGTCACTCGTTATCTGCCGTGAGGCACAGAGAGAGTCTGTGCAGAGCCCAGTGGAGCAGAGGAATCTTGAAGCCTCCCCGCTTTGAGGCCCCAGCCTTGATGACATCTAAATCCGCTGCCCTCCTCTTGTTAATCCCTGTTTAAAAGTAGAAGATGAAACCTAAAAGTGGTGTTAATCATAAAAATAGATTTTGGAAACACCTAACAGATGTAAGAAGTTTAAATCTGATCCATTTCAAAGGACTCTTTATAAATGATAGAGGTGATTGAATGCCTGTAGGAGGCCCAGCTCTATACCATTGGAAGCACCGAGACGGTGGGCGAGTCAGCTTCAGGCAGCTCCAGCTTATTCTCACTGAGAATAAGGTGAGCAGAAGCCCAAACATTGTAAAAAGCAAGCTGACAATATATGCAAGGAGCCAAGAAACAAAATGTCCCTTTCCCTTATTCCATTAGTTCAGCAGTTTCATTCCTGGAAATAAATCAAGAGAAGAAAGCTCTATGCCCATGGATGTTCACTGCAGCAACCTTTGTGACAGACTCTTAAAGAAAGGGGGGTGCAACAAGGAAGAGATTTGATCCCATTCGTCTTGTTGAGTCCATACTAAGATAGCACAAGGATGTTTCCCGTTCACAGATGTTACAGAGACCCAGGGTGTTTAAACTAGTGGAACCCCAAAGCCCATGAATTTTCAGCTATCATATGAAAAAGTGCTTATGCTATAAGGTTAAAAGAGCAATGGATACATTTTTAGGAAGAGTATAATTGTGTAAAGATTAACATGTTCCTGTAAAGTATGTAAAAATGAATATATATACAGATGGTCCCCAGCGTAGGGTATTTTCATCTTACAATGTGTTTGTGAGGACTGGCCCCATCACAAGTTGAGGATCATCTGTACTTGCCGTATCCCACTTAGGCACAATGTCTTTTTCTTCCCTGTGTTTGTGAAATGTGATTTTACTCTTAACATTAAGAAACAGATAGTGAATATAAATACAAATTTGAATTTTTGATAAAATAGTTATTAAGAATTGAATGTAAGGCTGGGCACAGTGGCTCATGCCTGTAACCCTAGCACTTTGGGAGGCCGAGGCAGGCAGATCACTTGAGGTCAGGAGTTCAAGACCAGCCTGGCCAACATGGTAAAACCCGTCTCTACTAAAAATACAAAAATCAGCTGGACATGGTGGCACATGCCTATAGTCCCAGCTACTCAGGAGGCTGAGGCAGGAGAATCACTTGAACCTGGGAGGCGGAGGTTGCAGTGAGCTGAGATCACGCCACTGCACTCCAGCTTGGGTGACAAGAGCGAAACTCTGTCTCAAAAAAGAAAAAAAAAAAATTTAAGAAGTAGCCTACCCAAGTTTTTTTGTCTCTCCCCGTGATTTGTGCAGAGTGGATGTTTTATATTGAATGGAATCATTATTCATGGACTGTATGTAGTGGAGGCTTTGTTAGTGGAGCTTTCTTGATCTTACGGAAGGATCAGTGGGAGGTTTTCACACAACTGTAGCACAGCCGGCACCCGACTGGCAGCAGTTCTAAGATGCTGTCCCAGTTTCAGAGGTTTGAATGTGGGATAAGGCAGTGTGAGAACTCATGCAAGCTTCCCTCATTGAAGAAGAGAGGGTAGTATATGTGGTAGTATAAGTTTTTTGTTTCGGTGCTGAAGTGGAGCTAACTCCACTGAAAGTAGAGGAAAGATTGGTTTCAAAAATGTTAACACAAAAAATCTAACCCTGAACCATGAGGTCTCATCTTTGGGAGCTGAGGTTTGGAGTGCAGTGGCAGGATCTGGGCTCCCTGCAGCTTCGACCTTCTGGGCTCAAGCAGTCCTCTCACCTCAGCCTCCCCTGCAGCTGAGACTGTAAGTACACACCACCACTCCCAGCTAATGTGAATTTTTTTGTAGAGATGAGGGTCTCACTGTTTTGCCCAAGCTGATCTCAAACTCCTGGACTCAAGCAGTCCTCCCAGCTTGGTCTCCCAAAGTGATAGGATTACCAATGTGAACCACTTTGCCCACCCTTGCATTTTCTAATTAGAAAGAAAACATCAGTGAATACCTTCTGAACCTCTGGTATGTTACATAGAAAAATGTTGGTCATGCACTGCATAGAGGTCAATGATGAATGGTAAAAGGTCTGAGTCCTCAGATCCCCTCCCAGTATCGCAGTTATCCCCAGCTGCCTCTCCTCCATCGCGCTTCAGAAGTGCTGTGATGGGCAGAAGGGCAGCTGACACTCCGTGATGTCCCTCATTCTGTGTTCCTCCGTGAGCTCAGGGAAGACACTGGTTGGCATCCAACAGCTTAGTCACAAAGGGATTTGATTGTTGGGAGTGCTGATATCTGTGGCTATGATCTGACTTGTTCAAGCTGAGACCTCTGATTGAAAATCCCGCAGGGGTTTTAATTGTTTACATAGAGTCCTGATGTTGCCTTTTGGAAATTATGCCTGTGGTGACCTTGTCTAGTCTGACTTTAAATATGGAACTGACTTTCAGCAGCATGGGGCAAGATCGAGGCTTTAAACTTTTTAAAATTTGATATAATCCAGACATACAAAAACAGTACAGCAGATATCTGTGGTAGAGCCGATTCAAATTCAAGATTGAGGATGGGGAGCACGTGAAGCTTGGTCCTAGTGATGTTCAATTTTTGTTTTTAATGTTATTTTTAGTGGGAGTTTTATCCTTTTGGTCTTGATACCTCACATTTGGCCAACACTCAAAGATAGGCTTCCTATGAAATATGTGGCCTCTGGATAAGACTCAGGAATGAAATTGTTGCTTCGTATCCTGTTTGGGATTTGTGTGTGTGTGTGTGTGTGACAGGATCTTGCTGTCACTCAGGTGGAGTACAATGGCATTGTCATAGTTCACTGCAACCTCGACCTCCCAGGCTCAAGCAGTCCTCTTGCCTCAGCTTCCCAAGTAACTGGGACCCCAGGCACATGCCACCACTCCCTGCAAATTTTTGAAAAAAGTTTTTGTAGAGATGGGGGTTTCACTGTGTTGCCCAGGCTGGTCTTGAACTCCTGGGCTCAAGCAGTCCTCACACCTTGGCCTCCCAGCGTGTTGGGATTGCAGGCATGAGTCTGTGCCTGACCTGTGTCTTTTTCCTTTGCTGTCTTATCGCTTTGAGTGTTCCTGGCCGGATCTCAGGGTGGTCTGACACTCTGACTGGAGGTAAGGATGCTGTGGATACTTTGCCAGCATAGGCAGGGCCTGGCGCCCTGAGGCTCACCCTGGCTGTGTTCTCTCCTAGCACACACTCACGGGACATAGTGGGAAAGTGCTGTCTGCTAAGTTCCTGCTGGACAATGCGCGGATCGTCTCAGGAAGTCATGACCGGACTCTCAAACTCTGGGATCTACGCAGCAAAGTCTGTGAGGAAATTCAGTCTCTCTGTCTGTGTATATGCTTAGATGTTAGCGTGGAGGTGTGTGTGTGCACGTCAGAGCCTGCATTTCTGTAATATAGTTTGAATTTCAGATCTGGCTTCACATTTAGAGGGGCACTGAGGGTAGTGATAGTTTTTCTTGTTTGAGGCTTCATTAAGTGAGTAACTCTGACAAGTCAGTGGTTCGAGGGTAGCAGCATTATGTAAACAGCCACGTTGGTGCCTCTGCTTGATTAATGATGTTTGCGTTTCTTTCAGGCATAAAGACAGTGTTTGCAGGATCCAGTTGCAATGATATTGTCTGCACAGAGCAATGTGTAATGAGTGGACATTTTGACAAGAAAATTCGTTTCTGGGACATTCGGTATGATACCCAAGCGCCTGACAGGAGGCACATGAGAGTCTCCACAGTGATGGTTCTGTACGTGGGTTGTGCTTTTAAAATCTCAGGACATGACAGAAATGAGCTTCAGTACGTGCATGTTTAGTGTTAGCTTATTAACACTCGGCTATTCTTTCCCGTGAAGTAGCCTGTGGAGCTTAGCAGTCATTTATTGAGCATGCAGTGAGTGCTGGGCCCTTCACCAGCTGGCAGGTGAGAAAAGGCACACAGGATACTCTTTCTCCCTTTAGGTAATTTAAACTGTAGTAGGGAAGGCAGACACAAATGTCAGTGACTCGTGTGTTGAAGTAGAGGCAGGTCCCTTTGCCCAAGCGTGCTAAAGAATGCCTCTCCGGATGTCTCCGGAGACTTGAGTAGGATTCACACAGCAGGAAAGCTGCTCAAACTTTTGAGTGTGTGTCTGGTGGCTGATACATGGCAAGTGGGCAGAAGCCAGTGAGGTGGCTATGGTGCGTTGAAATCAGGTTGCCACGGGCTTGATAAGCCATTTTCAAACAACTCGATCCCGTAAGTCGTTAGCAAGGAAATGGTTGCTTTGCAGGAGTCTAGTAGATGACTTTGGTGGCATTTTGAGAGGGCATATTGGGGAACAGGAAATCAACAGAGTTGATAAGGACCTAAGTTCAAGTCAGTAGAGGAACATGTGGAGGAGGGAATCTATTTGAAGGAGAATTTGGACAGGGCTTGTTGACAGGTTGGAGGCAGAGGATGAGGAGGGGAAGACAGGATGGAGAGCAAATGAGGACAGCCTCCCAGCAGGGTTGTAGAGAGGGCGGGGGTACAGGGCCCGTGGTGGTGGATGATGCTTTGAAACACAGCATGGCACCAGAAAGTCCTGACAATGCTCATGGTTCCTGGACACCACTTCACATTTTATTCATAATCTTTAGTTTGCTTTTAAAACCTGAAACTGGAACTTGAAACATGGAATTTGAGAGTTAAGCTGGATGTTCGAAGTCTCTTAGTCCATCCCATAATTTGACCCCGAGTCCCAAGGAAGTGGAGTAGCTTGCTTCCAGCTGCATATTTAGCAACAGTCAGATAAATTCTTGCTTAGTTACGGTGTGAGGTAGAAAATGGTTTTGTTGAAGGCTTACAACAAAGTCATCACAGAACAGGTCAGCACCCACTTTGGCTGTAAATGTCACCAACAGGGCCCTGCCCAGGGTGGCCGTTAGCCGACCTGGACATGGGCCGGAGCACAGAGAAGAAGAAGGAGGTGCATAGAACCGTGGCTCTGCCCTGGCTTTCCTGGCCCCAAGTCTAGAGGTGGAGGGCCACAGAGCCACACTGAATAGGGCAGAAAACCTGCAAGAGCCTACAGGGTTACACTTACAAGGCAGCCCAGGCCCGCGAATGCACGTTTCTTTGCCAACTTTATCCAAAAGTTGAAATCACATCACTGAACTAATACTAATTGGGTAGTAGCCCTAGTTAGCTCATGCTGATCAGAAACTCTGATTGGCGACTGTTGTCATCCCAAAAATGGATGAGGAAATTCTGACCAACTTCCGAGTTGTAGTCTGGAAATGACTGTCTCAGGGTCTACTGATGAGAAAGTAAGAAAAGCGGTCACAGGTTATTAGAAGGCTGGGAACACATTTACTGCGCTGGCAGAGCGTTGCATGCTAGTTGAATTGCAGTGCCTTTTTTTCCTCCACGGCATGAGGTCTAGTTTGGCCTATGTTACATTTCTCAAATCTGTTGTGCCTCTTAGATCAGAGAGTATAGTTCGAGAGATGGAGCTGTTGGGAAAGATTACTGCCCTGGACTTAAACCCAGAAAGGACTGAGCTCCTGAGCTGCTCCCGGGATGACTTGCTAAAAGTTATTGATCTCCGAACAAATGCTGTCAAGCAGACATTCAGGTAACTGAAGACGTGCTGGTTGCATGAAGACCAGAGTCCCAGCCCTGCTCTCTTACGTGCTGCATGGCCTGAGCTCCCTGAGTGACAGTGCCCTGTTGTTTGTTTCAGTGCACCTGGGTTCAAGTGCGGCTCTGACTGGACCAGAGTTGTCTTCAGGTTAGTAGTGACCCACCCCCTGCCAATTTGGTTCATCACAAAGAGTTCTGTGTGGGCATTTTCCCACTGGGGACACAGAGCTAAATTTTGTTCAGTGCCCAACCTGTGTTTCCAGGAATGTGCTTGTAAGTTCATTATTGCAGGCCACCATTATTGTCTCTTTCCAGTGTTCCTTTTGTGATTACAGGAACCTAATGTGTTGTACCAAAAAATAACAGTTGGCTGGTTGCTTTCTTCTGGGTGAGCCCATTAGGTACACTTCTCATCACTCATTCACGCAAGAACTATTGCCTCACACCTTAAGTTTGGAAGGTGTGAGAGCTTTGGAAAAAGGCAGGAATGGCTGTGGGCCTGGGGTGGGACTGAAAAGCCTTTTTGAAGAAGGGTGTGCAGGTGGTCTGCAGTTTTCCGCTCCTTGTTCCCTTCTTCCATGTATCGTGCTTCTTCCAAATACGTTTCCAGGCTCGGTTGCTAAGATGCTTCTTTTCTTTCCTCCTCCTCTTTGAAACATGTAACAAGGCAGTCCACGGGCTGAAACCCTTAGCTATGTGGAGGTTGGCTTTGATCTCCCTATATGTTGTTTTGTTCAAGTCTGTAGATGGTTAAGGACTTGGAGCCCCAAGAAGTAATGTGATGCCACTCTTCATTAGCGGATGGTGCTGAAATACTGGGGAAAAGCAGATTTGGCTGGAAGGGCCATGAATAGCACACATTCTGAGGTCTAGGTACACAGGAGTGGCCATCAGTGAAGAACAAACATTCCTTCTTGGGAAAAAGGCCACGGAGATGCTGAATGGGGGATGGGGAATTGACAGCCTTTCCTTTCTTCCTGTCTTCTCTAGTCCTGACGGCAGTTACGTGGCGGCAGGCTCTGCTGAGGGCTCTCTCTACATCTGGAGTGTGCTCACAGGGAAAGTGGAAAAGGTTCTCTCAAAGCAGCACAGGTAAGACGAGCCCTGTCTCAGCGCCCTCTTGCGTTGTGAGCACGGCCTTTGACTTGATCTCAGGGTCATCCAGTTTAGACCTCAGTCAACACCATGAGGGCACTGCCCGCCCGCCCACCTGCTCGGCTGACTGAGCTAGGTCAGTGGAGAGAAGCTGGGGCCATTCACAGCACAGCAGGCCACAGTCTACAGAGTACTCCAGGTAGAGCGGTTAGAGTGGCGGCCGCTGGAGAAAGGGTTATAGAAACACATCCCTGTCTCTTTGGTTATGTCCCATGTCCTCTGTGTCTCCTTCCCCTTCTCTACTCTCCTTCCTTTCTGCCTCCCTCTCTCCCTTGGAAGTCCCTGTTGTCAGTGCATTGACATGTCCTAAACACTAATTTCCACACACCTTATTTTATCTTCTACCTGATAGGCAGGCCCCAGACCCCCTTTTTTCCTAACTTTGTTCTGCCCACACAAGCCCACCTGCTAGTCGGAAGCCAGATACCATTTTCTTTCTGAACCTTCTCTCCCTGCCCTTGGGCAGCAGCAGCTGCTCCCAGACCTAACCAGTGCTGGCCACCACTGCCTGGCTCTTCAGAGGCATGTGTCCTGTCTCTTTCCAGCTCACCCAGAGCTCCTCTCTTGGGGAGAGTGTGATAAGCGCTGACTGCCAAAGGGGCCAAACTCCCTTCATCCCAGCGTGACTTAATGAAGTACACCACTGGATTTTTCAGAGGTCTTTTGCATTGTAGTGAGCTCCTGCCTTGCTGTGGGCACAGTGCCAGAGAGTGAAATGGAAGTTGGCAAAATTGTGACTCCCTGAGTGCACAAGCTTCAGGTGTTTAGTTTACTAAGATCTCATCCCAAATGTTCTGAAACTTGGTACTTTTCTGATCTCTCCTTTGAAGCTCGTCCATCAATGCGGTGGCGTGGTCGCCCTCTGGCTCGCACGTTGTCAGCGTGGACAAAGGATGCAAAGCTGTGCTGTGGGCACAGTATTGACGGGGCTCTCAGGGCTGGGAGGACCCCAGCGCCCTCCTCAGAAGAAGCACGTGGGCTCCCGCAGCCCTGTCCTGGCAGGTGATGTGCTGGGTACAGCATGGACCTCCCAGAGAAGCTCAAGCTATGTGGCACTGTAGCTTTGCCGTGAATGGGATTTCTGAAGATTTGACTGAGGTCTCTCTTGGCCTGGAAGAATAACACTGAAAAAACCTGACGCTGCGGTCACTTAGCAGAGGCTCAGGTTCTTGCTTTGGGAAACACTACTAGCTCTGACCTTCCATACCTCACTTGGGGGAGCACAGGGCCCCGCTGGGCCGCCTCACCAAGGGCAGTGCCAAAAACAGCCCCCACATCAAGGTGGTGTTCTATGTGCTTTCTCTCATCCTTCCAAAGTTGGTTCTGGCCTGACGCATGTCCCATCACCGTGGGGTCATTTGCCCGGTGAACTCACTTTAAGCATTGGATTAACGGAAACTCCAAGGCTACAGACCCCTCCCTGGTGGGCTGCATGAATGTGTCTCATTACTGCTGAAATTTCCTCAGATCTCTTCCACTGTTCTTCAGAGCTTTCTGGCTCTCTTTCCCCCACAAAATTCGACATATTTAAAGATCTCTGTGTGGTTTAAAAAAAAATGTTTTTATGTTTTTTTTGAGGTGGGAGAGGATGTGAGAAAATCTTTTCCAGGGAAATGGGTTTGCTGCAGAGGTAAGGATGTGTTCCTGTATCGATCTGCAGACACCCAGAAGGTGGGTGCACACTGCATGCTTGGGGTGCCAAGGGATTTGAGACCTCCAACATATTTGTCTGAAGCTGGTGATTCTGGCCACGGCCCCTCTGCCAAGCCTGTGTGCCATGCCCTTGGTGCTTTAGTGCAAGAAGCCCAGGCTCAGAAGCACAGCAGTGCCATCTTTCCGTTTCAGGGGTTGTGATGAAGGCCAAGGAAAAGCATTTATCTTTACCATTTTACCTGTGTATAAAGTTTTAGTTCATTGAGTGTGCAAAACACCCTTATCACTTTTAAATTTGCACTTTATTTTTTTTCTTCCATGCTTGTTCTCTGGGCATTTGGGGATGTGAGTGCTAGAGCCAGTGAGAGGTGTCAGGCCGCCTTCCCACTGATGGTCCTGGCCTCCACCTGCCCTCTCTTCCCTGCCTGGTCGCCACTTTCCAATTTGTCCTTCAGAGAACTTAAGGAGAGTTGAAATTCACGGGCCAGGGCGCATCTTTTATTTATTTCGTTATGTTGCCCAACAGAACTTGATTGTAAATAATTAAAAAGAAATCTGTTATATACTTTTCAAACTCCATGCCTCTTGGTGATTATTTTATTCTCCCTTATCCTTAGAAAGGGGAAAGAAAGTGATTTCTTTGTTTACCTGGTAGTTATTTGTAAACAATGGCTAGTACTTTTTTTCCCCCATTTACCAAGTGTTTATTGTGTTTTTCGTTTGTTTGTTTTTTTTAACTGCATGATTCCATTATATAAAATTCTAGAAAATATAAACAAATCTATAGTGGCAGAAAGCAGATTATTGGTTGTCTGCAGATGGAGGGAGGGGGAGGAATGAATTACAAAAGGCCACAAAGAAACAATTTGGGGCGATGGAAATGTCTGTTACCTTGATTGTGATGATGGGTTTATACCTATATACATATGTCAAAGCTCATCAAATTATGTACTTTAAATATGGGCAGTTTATTGTATGTCTGTCCCTTAATAAAGTTGAGGGGGGGAAGAGAGAGAAAGGCAAACACATAGAAGGAGGAAGGAAGACAGGAAGGAGGTAAAGAGGGAGGGAGGAAGGAGCAAGGGAGCGTTGAACAGCTCTGCCTTGGATGTGCCTCTCCGTTGCCATTGACCGGCTTAACTGATGCACTTTCCCATTTACTGGGAGCAGTCTGGGAACCAGGTTGAATTGTGTGGAGTGTCCTACTTGTTTGTTTGTTTGTTGTTGTTGTTGTTGTTATATACTTTTAAGTTGTAGGGTACATGTGCACAACGTGCAGGTTTGTTACATACGTATACATGTGCCATGTTGCTGTGCTGCACCCATTAACTCATCATTTACATTAGGTATATCTCCTAATGCTGTCCCTCCCCAGTCCCCGTTCCCCACAATAGGCCCCTGTGTGTGATGTTCCCCTTCCTGTGTCCAAGTGATCTCAATGTTCAATTCCCACCTATAAGTGAGAGCATGTGGTGTTTGGTTTTCTGTTCTTGCGATAGTTTGCTGAGAATGATGGTTTCCAGCTGCATCCATGTCCCTACAGAGGACATGAACTCATTCTTTTTTATGGCTGCATAGTATTCCATGGTGTATATGTGCCACATTTTCTTAACCCAGTCTGTCACTGATGGACATTTGGGTTGGTTCCAAGTCTTTGCTATTGTGAATAGTGACAATGGCTAGTACTTTTTAATGGTCTTTTCTCGTTCATCATGTAAGCTCCACTCCACAAAGTATCACTCCCTGTAAACACTAGTGTTCCAGTTTCATGTCACGCAAATCTTAACGGACACTGGAAAGGTATTTCTTCAGAACGTCACCAGCTGCAGTAGAAGAGCCCCGCACACGGAGCCTTTCTGCAGTGAAGCGCCACGCTGGAGAGGCATTCACTTGTGGTGGCTCAGATACCTGACACACAGCCTGAGCTGTGACAAGTCATGACCACCCTGCTCAGGAAACTCAGCCAGTCTCCACTTAGCCTAGCACCTGCAGTCCAGGTGCCATCAGGGTCTGAAGTCTGAGGCAGCCAGCACTTGCACAAAGCTGGATGAAGGCGAGATGTGTTGGCTCACACCTGTAATCCCAACACTTTGGGAGGCTGAGGCAGAAGGATCACTTGAGGCCAGGAGTTGGAGGCTACAGTGAGCTATGATTGCACTCCAGCCTGGGTGATAACGTAAGACCCTGTCTCTTAAAAAAAAAAAAAAAAAAAAAAAGTTGGATGAGCCCTTTGCAATCACTTCAAGAAGGTGATTCTCCAAATAGGCCCCAAACAAGTGTTCGAATAGTCTCAGATCATGCTGTTTTTGCATTTGGAGGGAAGCGTGGCTGTTCTCTGCTCAGCCTGAGCTGCATTCCAGTCCCGTAACTGCCCGCCAGTGCTGAGGTCAACGCGAGGGTCTCACAGCACCGGGGAGTGTGGCTGCCCTTTAACTCCCTGCCTAGGGTGTGGACAAGGGCCTTTCCAGCAGCTAGTTGTGTTTTTATTTCTTTTTTTTTTTTTTTTTTTTTTGAGACAGGGTTTTGCTGTGCTGCCCAGGCTGGAGTACAGTGGTATGGTCACTGCTCACTGCAGCCTCGACCTCCCAGGCCCAGGCGATCTACTCCCTCAACCTGAGCATACCACCATGCCTGGCTAATTTTATTTTTAATAGAGATGGGGTCTCAGTAGGTTGCAGGAGGGTCTCCAATGGCAGTGCCAAAAGCAGTCCTCCTGCCTCAGCCTCTCAAAGTGCCAGGAGTATGGGAGTGGAGCCACTTTTGTTTGGTCCTATTTTTCTTTGTTTTTATTTTTATTTTTTGAGATAAGGTCTCTGTCACCCAGGCTGGAGTGGAGTGGCACAATCTTGGCTCACTGCAGCCTCCGCCTCCCAGGCACAAGTGATCCCCCCACCTCTGTCTCCCGAGTAGCTGGGACGATAGGATAGGTTGGTGCCACTACAGCCAGCTAATTTTTTATATTTTGTAGAGACGATTTCACCATGTTACCCAAAGCCTTATTGTTAAAGTGCATACTGTTCATATGCTGCCTCTTACCATAGATGTCCCAAAGCCCCTCCTGCTTTCACAGCATGGCACCCGATGTTTCGTGGGGACACTAGGGTGAATGGATGAAGAGGCTGCTCTTAGGCTCCAGGAGCAAGTCGGCTGGGAAGTCGCAGGTTGCTGAGTGTACCAAATCCTGCACAACTACCTGAGTGTCTGTAGCACAACAGCAATCTTAATTGATTAGATCTTTCTTTTGAGGTAGGGTCTCATTCCAGTTGCCCAAGTGGAGTGCAGTGGTGCAATCTCAGTTCACTGCCACTTTGACCTCCTAGGCTCAGGTGATCCTCCCACCTCAGCCTCCCGAGTAGCTGGGACTGCAGCCACCTGCCACCATGCTTCGCACATTTTTTTTTTTTCTGTATTTTTAGTAGAGATGGGGTTTTGCCATGTTGGCGAGGGTTGTCTCGAACTCTGGACTCAAACAGTCCACCCGTCTGCCTTCTCAAAGTGCTGGGATCATAGACATGAGCCACAGCACCTGGCCACGCCCACAGGGACAGGTGTGACGCTAAGCTGTGTCTTCAAAAGTGAATGGACTGTGCTCCTCCACATGGCCTTTTCTAGTGTCCTGCTTTAATAAGTCCGGCTTATGTTAGAAATTCCTAAACTTTGGAAATCCCAGCACTTTGGGAGGCCGAGGCTGGCGGATCACGAGGTCAGGAGATTGAGACCCTCCTGGCTAACACGGTGAAACCCCATCTCTACCAAGAATACAAAAAATTAGCCGGGTGTGGTGGTCCACACCTGTAGTCCCAGCTAGTCAGGAGGCTGAGGCAGGAGAATCGCTTGAACCCGGGAGGTGGAGGTTGCAGTGAGCCGAGATCGGACCATTGAACTCCATTCTGGGTGACAGAGCAAGACTCTGTCTCAAAAAAAAAAAAAAAAAAAAAACCTTTGGAAATCTTGAGAAAAAAGGGGTATTCCTGTATCTGCGTAGATTCTGTAAAAGTGCATGAGGTATGTGGTACCTGCCAGTAAAAGACGGGACTAATCACAGAATGATTCTTAGCTGCCTCACTTAAGCAAAATTTGACTTCTCTGGCCTCCAGGAACTCTGACTTTCCTAACAGGTCTCAACCCTTCCTGGCCTGTTTGTTCCAGATCCTCCCTCTCTGTGCATGCTCCAACTGTTCCTGTCCTCTCAACCTTCCCCGCTGCTTAGTGAGTCTTCCCTGGCACCGTGTTGCCTTCATATTCTAACCTGCAATTGGTGAGCACAGTGAGAACATCCAAATCAGGACAAACACAGAACCCAAGGGAGTAGACAGTATTGTCTCTAACGAGTCCAGTGTACCCACCACTCAACAGCCCTGTCAGTCTCAGTCAGCCCTCTTTGATGCTTTCCCCCCAGGGTATTTTAACGCAAATTTCAAGCATGTTGTTTTACCCATGAATTACCATGCATCCCAACCCAACCCGGCAAGGAGACCCGGCTGTGATTAACCTACTGGGTGAACCTACGACGGTATCACCCACCCTTCGGTCCAATGTTCCTGATTGTTGCAGTGGTGTTTCTTATGATTGGTTTGAAACAAAATCCAATTAGCTTTTGCTGTATAACAGACTACCTCAAACTTCATGGCTTAAGACAATGATTATTTACTAAGATTCTGTGAGGCAGCTGACCTGGTCTAGTGGGGATGGATGGCGGAGGTGGCTTTGTTCACACGTCTGCTGGGGGGATTGCTGGCACAGCAAGCAAGCAAGCATCCGTGTATAAGCAAGCCCTTGTCACTATCCTTGGGTCACTTTTTTTTTTTTTTTTTAAGTCTCACTCTGTCCCCCAGGCTGAAGTGCAGTGGCGCAATCTCGGCTCACTGCAAGCTCCGCCTCCCGGGTTCACACCATTCTCCTGCCTCAGCCTCCCGAGTAGCAGGGACTACAGGTGCCTGCCACCACGCCCGGCTAATTTTTTGGTATTTTTAGTAGAGATGGGGTTTCACCATGTTAGCCAGCATGGTCTCCATCTCCTGACCTCGTGATCTGCCCGCCTCGGCCTCCCAAAATGCTGGGATTACAGGCGCTGAGTATGTATTCTAGAACAGTAATTCTTGCTGACCTTTTTTTGAATGCCCCACACTGGATGTGGTTGGCTTCTCCATAAGCATACACTTGTATCTCAAGTGGGGACATTAGTCCTGCACATGACTGTGGGCCCAGCCCCCACTGTGGATTGCTCTGACCCCAGGCACAGGAAGGTGACAGCAGGCGAATTCTGGCTTTGGGCTTCATTTTTATCAGAGAACTACAGTGAGGAGAGGATAGGTAGGCATGCTTGTGAGCCAGGCACTAAGAGGATAAACTGTAAACAGCCTGGCTTCTAGTTAGGAAGCCGTAAGTCCTGTTGCCCCCAGGAGTACACCCAGATGGTCCTAAGAGACTAAGGAGATCTCAGGGCCGTCATATGCTTTACACCCGATAGAGTGCTTGGCACATGGTGGGTTTATAGTAGTAGAATTAGTGGAAAACAAACCAGCCCCAAGATTGTCCCAAAGTATAACTAGCTGAAAGGAAGAGAGAATCGTT